TTCAATCGCGGTCTCAGCTTTAAGCGGGCGTTTATTGTAAGCACACATCGTAACCTTAGTTCTTTGCGATTCAGATAGCCTAGAATGGCTCTGCGATTTCACCAGTCTGTCCATACTCTTCCTATTCAACGCTGCAATATCGGAGCTCTTTCGGGGTCAGGAGAATAATGCCCTCTTTTTTTTTACTGTGTTAAGCACTTAACACACATGTATTCCTTACCGTGCTCTGAAGTTGGGGTTGGGTAAAGTACGCGCCAAATGGGCATGGCGGAAACAAGAAGTCAATCATCGGTATCCTTCTGCATCTCAGAGAAGCATAAGTTCGATTTTCGCCCTCGATTAACCCTCCATCCATCGCCTGTGACTTTCCAGGTTGTCTCGTGATTAATCGTAATTAGATTCCTCTACAATGAAGATTCGTGGAAAAACGCAAATAGATGATATAAATAAAGGATTAAAAGGTAACGCTTTCGTTTTTGATCAATCCCTGAGAGATGCGCCATGCATTTGACTTCACTAAATATCCTTGGAGGTGATTGAATGCATATCCGACCTTTGTAATGGCTTGCAGTGGCCTGCCGATGCATCGAGCCAGCGTTGCTATCCTCCTAGGCAAGTCTGGCACCAATTTGCCGACCCCGGAGGGATGGAGGGCTTGGTGGGCCATGGGCGTGGGAATCAATTCCACGTGTGTACTACAGGGCGCCTCCGACCACTGCGCCACACGCGCCGTTAAAATTATAACTACAAGTAGAAAATGCCTTCATCCGCTTGACAACCATGCCAGCTGGAATTCTTTGAAAAGAAACAGGAATTTGGGAAAGAATAGTCATATTATTGGGATTTTCGACACGAAAGAAGTTGGAAATGGCGATGTTGCGGGAACACAAGTCAACAGAAAAAAAGCGATTTTTTGCCACCGTTATGTAACTTGGCAGTAAATCAAGATGACAATCAGGTCTTTATAGTACTACAAGGAGCTAAGTACATGACGAGATTCTTATCTGCCATCCTATTCCAACTCTTCATCAAGTCTTCATTAGATTCTTATCTTCAAATTACTTGACTTTTAGTGAAAATATTTATAATTCCTACCCGTTCGAGAAACCGACGATTGTGCTAACTCTGTGTTATTGAAGATTGGTCGCCACCGTGTTAACTTTTTATTTGCTACCTATTACAGCTTTCCGCGAGAGGGTATTATGTGTGATACAACCACATTGATGCTGAAATATTTGAAAAACTCCGCACTCAGGTGTCTGCGATGTGCAACCAACGCACTATTACTCTTTCCTGAGGCTAACGCGTCAACCATCACACCGTGAGGGTCCTTCGTTTCGCCTGTCTCTCAGCTAGTTCTATCATTCAGTGACATCAACAATCACCCGTCAACTGGTTTGATCTAGGAAGCACAAATCGGCACTGTTCGATAGAATTATTTCAGAGACGGAAGAAACGAAGGACCCGTGTGGTGTAGTGATGAACGTGTTAGCCCCGGAAAAGGAAATAGCGCGTTCGTTCCTCACCGCAGACACCTGCGGTCCCGAGTTTTGCAAATCTCTCAGCATCATTGTGGTTGTTCGTCTCTGTTTGCTTTTATTAGCACACTGTCGACCACGTGACCCGAAATGATTCCACTGCTATCCTGTATCCAGTGGTGTGCCAAAGCTTTTGCCGGAATTCTTGCATTCTATCGATAGCTTGTCGAACGTAGGTCTAATAGGAATAGCTCATAAAAAGCTGCCTTTTACAATTAATAATTTATAAAAAATCTGAAAAACAGGTTTTCAATCCGCAGTTATCACTGACACCTGATCGTTGGTGTATTCAATAAATATAATGAACGATGTTGTAAAAGTAGTTGCAAACCTTAGTAAATTCAAGGCAGTGAACTTTGTATAATGTAAGATTTATTCACCACATTCAAAAGATCGATGGTATATTCGATTTTTGCGCAACTCAGATGATAAAACATGAAGGTGAGGGCTGAAATCTTCTACTCTTCCACTTCATTGTTCTACTCCTTTACTCCTTTGCGCTACTTCTCCACTTTCCACTCATCCATTCTTCTAATCCTCCTTCTTTTCCCATAAATCCTATTCGATCACATGCTAGCATCCAAATCAAAACACTGGATGCAAACTTATTGTTAGTATTAGACATCAGGTTGTCAATGAATGGAAACTTACATAATGAAGCTATATGGGAAAGAAATTTGGTTAGAAAATTTCTAATCAGGTTCAAGTAGCAGCTTTAATGTTTGGCAAGATAGTTGTAACTGTCAATTCAAAGAAAGAAACCACTCTTTTTCCGATCCTTCATATTTTTACAGTGTTCGAATTTTTAAACCACTGTTAGAAACTTAGCTTGCAATTCTGAAACGAAGGACCCGCATGGTGTGGTCGTGAACGTGAACGTTAGTCCCCAGAAAGGGTGATAGCGCGTTCGTTCCCCATTGCAGACACCTGCCGTCCGGAGTTTTGCAAATGTCTCAGCATCACCACGGTGGTATTTTACATAGTACCCTTCCTTGGAAAACTGTAATTGGCAGCAAATGGAAAGTTAACATTATGATGCTTTTCTTAATTTTTGGTATCTTGAGTTGCCTTACTGCTCTCTTTGTTCAAATTACTGGTTATTTCGAGGTTCCTGAAGATAAAACGAACCTTCTGGTACAGCGAGAAAGCGAGATCCCACTATCTTGCGAGTTGATTCGAGTTTCTTAAACGGTCTCTATGGCTGCTTACTTTTCCAAGGGTTAATAACGTCGATGCTTTTTTTGGGAACCAGTGCTCTTTTTTAGAATAATTACATTCTAGGACACAGTGGTGATGAATGCGATGTGATCACTAAGGAAGTGATTTAGGAAAGAGCTGATTCTGTGGTTTGTCGATCATAATGGACACACTGGATATTGCGTGTGATGCACCTAGGAGAAAAGGATATTTGCGACCCAACAAGGAGCTTTTTGACTCGATTTCTCGGTTTTGTCGACGAATTTGTTTTCCCACAGTGTTGCTAGGGGCGCGTCGCGTGTAGCGCAATGGTCGGACATGTCCTGCAATACACATGTGGTCGAAGCCCGTGCCGCAGGATCACCAAGCTTTCCATTTCCCCAGGGCCGGAAAATTGGCAACAGGGAGATATATGTCCGATCATATCCCACGATGTTTAGTGAAGTCGAATGCAGAACGCATCCTTCAAGCATTGATCAACGTTGAGTTTTATCCTTTATCATTTACCGTGTTACTGATTTTTTCAGAGATCTCTATGTCTTCGTTAAGGCACACATTTATAAAGACGACACAGTCAAAAGACAGTAGACGAAAAATTTCTTTTCTTAAGAAGATCTATGACAAGAAAAGTTACGTGGGCAAGTGCTGGACCAGTGTACCATCAATTGTGCTTAGTTCTCTCACAGTACTGCTGGATGTCCAATATGTTGACTGTACATTCGTAATGGAAATAATGTTTCACGCTTCAATCGCCCCTTGGTGCTAAATATAATATTGATTCACACAGTGATTCATAATTAAATGTCGACTTCATGGTTATTCGTAGTCACACTTTACACGACCATCTTCTTTCCCATTGTAGAAGAGCTTTTTCTTCTTCAATTCATGGTCGTAACTACCGTTTGAGTGCATTAAAGTACCATTAGGTAGTATGACAACAATCGAGTATTGAACGTTTGTTGTACTTTGCTCAAATGGCTGTAAACGTAGTCCGCACGTTCTGCCAACTTCGGAACACCCACGCCTGTCGTTGATGATTCTTTTCTTTGAAATAAAAATCCTTGTCAAAAAGAATCGATGCCAGAAAAACGCTCTCAGATACACTTTCCAGTTTCGCTACGAGTTTATACTACAAAGTTACTTGTGTTTTTTCCATACTTTGTTGAACACTACATCTTCGCGACACAATTACTCATAAAATTCTGAAGAGATGTAAAGAGACGTGGTACGGTGACCCTGCACTAGACACCCACCATAATTCCTTTACACATTTAAAAGCTTTAAAACAGGGAATCAGTTGAGCGTGAGACAATAACAGTATTACGTTATCTCCTTTCTCGAACGTGAGCTTTGCGCTTTTCCAAACGCACATCTTGAAACGTTCCATATATTACGACCCTACCTTTTTTGGGTGGAGAGGGTAGAAAGGTAGTGCTTGTCAGAACGATTCTGGCTCGGGTTCGGGTCCTCTGGGTCCCACGCTGTTTATCTAACGCATCCTTTTACTAGTGATACGTGTTACTTTGCACACCATCGCACTCTGGACCACACCATTCCCTTTATTACATTTGAAATAGCAATTAAATGAAAACCTGTTATAGGCTCTTTGCTGTCGACTTTGGTTTCATTTCTATTGTGAATGCTCAAACGAGTAGCTAAGCTGATTTTCACTAAGATATCCCATTATTTTTCACAGGTTATGCATTTCTGGGACAATCTGGGAATGGGCCGACCATCGACGCAATGTTCCTAAAGAAACCAGTGACGGTGATGTCTTCAGTGCCTAAGCACACATTTGAGCAGAACGGAATGAGTCAATTTAATATCTAGATCGACACAAAACATTTTTCCTCGAACATTTTCAGCAAAGGAATTTTAATGTGCACTTGCGATAATGACCTTGTTCAAAATCGTAACCGGCTTTATTTAATTATCATCAGCACGAAATCGTTTACACTCTTTCGGATTACATCGTTAGGCTTTTCATGATTTCCTTCCGTTTATCCGATTTTGTTCCTCGCAGATGATTCTCGTGAATCTCTCTAATGTTCTCCGATCCCACTTTCTTCATTGCTTCGAAGAAAGAAATCTTTACTAACTAGTGATAAATGCAGAAATCCTTTTGTCATGGCTTTCATCCTTCTTAGAAACCTCTAATATTTTCCTGTTCTTTAATTTTCACTTTACCTCCCATTTCCCCCTAGGAATTCCTTAAGTCGCAATGGCACGCTACTTCCTTTATTCTTAGCCATAATCATTTTCAGAATGCAGTTTCGCCAAAAAGCCGTCTCATTTTTTGCCATTCCACTACTCCGCTTACAAACAATATTATTCTTCTCTGTTCTGACATATCTATTGGTCAGTTTGTTTCGAAGTGGCTTCTTCAATTCATTTCGAGAGCCAGAGAGCACGACAAGACCGACAATCATCGTTGTGACGCCAACTCATAAGAGAAAGGAACGCATAGCAGATATGCTCAGGTAGGGAAAAGTGAAATCCCCATTGATCATCGGAGCAAGCCGCGTTGCCCAGCTGAGAAAATTTGCAATCCCGATATAACAAATTGCTATGTGCTAGCAATTTTACGAAATTACTACTTTCTGCCATTGTATTTTGAACCAGAATTTACTGCATAATAGATTTGTGTCACGCTACCCGCCAAAATATGGAGCATGACGTGTACTTGGTCCTCGGCGTTGATCAATCACTGAGGGATGCGCCATGCATCCAACTTCATTAAGCATCGTTTGGGGGTGATTAAATGCATATCTGGCCCTTATAATAACCCGCGATGGCCCACCGATGCATCGAGCCAGTGCTGCTATCCTTCCAGACAAGTCTTGTACGAATTTTCCGACCCCGGATGGATAGAAGACATGTTGGCCCGTGGGTGCGAGGATCAATTCCACGTGTGTGTTGCTGGACGCCTCAGACCACTGCGCTACATGCGCCCTAATACAGGTTAAACATTTGAATATGGAATAGAAAATTTCGATGGAAGTTGTGGACTTACATACAAAATGCTCTTCAGTGGAAACAGGCTCCGTTTCCGAATTGGTTTCAAGTTGAAATAAATCTCAACAAGCATTGATTGGTGTTTGAGATTTGGAATTGAGTGAACTCTTGCGGAAAGCACCTATTAGAATTGTCGATTACGTAGCATTAAATGTCTCATTTTCCGGTTATCACAGACGCTGAGTCACGTTCGCAATTTGCATTGGATAGTGGTGGAGGATGGCAACGCGACCTCCAATCCAGTTGAACGGCTTCTGCAACGAAGTTCTATCCCTTACGTCTACATCGCTACCATCACAGCGCCCGGAATGCCTAGTAAGACACCAGTTATCCTTCGCATACCGCTCTTTACTACTTTTTAGACTACTTTGGTAAACTTGGCTGCTGATATTCAAAGCGCAGCTCCAGATACTACCATGTGAAAGTTTTCTCGATGCCCACTAACGACTTTTTCTATTTTCATGACAAATCTAACTAGGTAGCTTTCAGTTTCTGTGACTCCCATTTGTAGTCGGGTGCCAAATTTAAGTTCAAATCATAGACTTTAAAAATATAGAGAAACTTCTGTGAAGCGATCGGCTTCTCGTGCTTATGAACTTTACAAAATTATGCACTTTTTTGGATAATTCGACTTTGCATATTACTGCCAATTTCGTATCAGTTCGCTTCTGTTCCTGCTTCTTTCATCTTTTCCAGTCAGTAGCTCAGAGAAGAGCAATAAATAAGCCGACATGTCTGGACCCCTTAATGTTTAAGTAGACCATTATTCTCCTTGTCGAGGTGGTCATTATGATAGATTGATTTTACTTAAACGATTCACTTTTTATGCTGACACTGTCAAATGCGGCTTCGTTTTGACTTTCGAGTAAGGAATTCTGAATGGATTCAGAACGGGGCTGGACGCATCGCAACTTGGCCTTGCAATACATTAGGGAAAACTATCGCTCGGACTTCGACGCACTGTTGTATTTTGCCGACGACGACAATTCCTACGATGTCCGCCTTTTCGACAATTACATACGAAAAGTGAAGCGCCTAGGAATCTGGCCAGTTGGTGAGTTCTCTACTAGCGAAAAATTCTACCAGCCGAGGGTATTCGATGTTGAGGATCAAAATTTTCCATCATTTTCATTATTGCCATTGTTATATGCAGAAAATTGATATTACATTATACTATTACAAAATTAGCAGCTGTCAAAGTGGTGACTCATATCTCGGGACACAAAGCTCAAACAAACCATTACTCTTCGAAGAAAATTTTTCAGGATTCAGAACAAACATAATATGGTCTTGTACCTTTCCAACGCAAGACTTCTGCTTAAATTAACCGATCTTTTTAACTAAGTAACTGTTAGATTTCCATAAACCGTCAATGGTTCATCAAAGGTTTCATAGCTTACGCGATCTGTGTAGGTTCACAAGTAGTCTTGAAATCTGCCTATCGCTTCAACGGTTAATGCCTACTGTCTGAATTTTGTGCTCACATAGGCAGCAATACTAACCTGAAAAATGTTTAAAACAGTAAAAGAAGTAAGAACAGTAAAGAGCGAATCAGTAAGTCCGAACGTTTGGGTCTGTAATATTAACCCACGAGGCCTTCAGGTTCAGACATCATTGTGCCCGTAGTGGGGCAGGAATTCGTGATGCCCATTCTTTCATGAGCTATGGTCATAATATTACTTGCCACCGACTCTATGCCATCTTTTTATGCCAATTGTTCTCAATAGAGACTTCTCTGAATTGGATCACTGTAAATAAGTCGAACTTTGTAAGTTTCAAAATGTCCGTCTATGCTCAGAGAGCGATGAAATATAAAAAAGAAAAGGTCGTGTAGATTACAAGAGTGCAAGTATGGAAGTAGTAATCAATTTTTAAGATGGCGAAACAAGAGCCAAAAGGGAAAAGTACTGGTGATAAAAATGAGTGGCATACGTTTCATTCGCAGTCGTTCGTAGTCGTACGCACTAGGACGAAATCGGAAATACGCGCGTTGATTGCACCGCCTTGGCACTCGATTCGGTTCCTTTACACTGCTCCAGTCGTTCATGCATTTGCTAAGAGCTCCCAGTGGTAATGTAATTATCCCAATTTAAAAGTGCGCACCACACAAGTAACAAAACGGGTTACTTTAGGAGATTGGTTTTTTTGTAGTGCCGATCTGAGAAACTGAAGAAAGCACTTTCAGGCTTGGTTGGCGGAGCATGGGTGGAATCTCCAAAAGTTGGAAGCAATGGTAAGGTGGTGGGTTGGGATGTCATGTACGCACCGCGACGAGAATTCGCCACCGATATGGCTGGGTTCGCAATACACCTCAGAGAACTGTTCCGGGTTAAAAAGTCAGTGCCTTTTAAAGTTCTTATGGTTTTTTGAGTATTTTCATAGAGAGTAGATAATGACTCTGAGTTTAAAAGATTGTGCAAAACACAAACGGCTTGTTAGGTGAGCCATCAGAAGTTTTGTCCAATTACCCATCGCATTCAATCCGAAGCTCTTTCATCACAGTGGCGCTGGCGATGTGGTGCCCCTTAGATCGCAAGCGAATATCGCTCTACATTCCATTTTGTCTATTATTTACAACTATTTGCTAACGTTTTGTCCTTTTAGGAATGGAGCATTAGCACACTATTGGTACTTTTCTACTACAGTACCGATTCACAGAAAACGTGCCAAAATTTTCATAGATTCTCCGTAAATCTATCGTTTCTAGCGCGACGTTCAGCCAAGAGTGCGCCAAAACAGCAGGACTTGGACCGGAGTCGTGCTTCCTGACGCAGTTCGGATTCAAGAAGCATGATGCCGAGCCGTTTGGATACAACGATTTTCCAAAAGACATCTTGGTATGGCACACGAAGACTAAAAAATCGACCGGCTCAGGACCCACCAGAGGATTCATCATCGAATAGGTTACGGTTTCGCCGCGTCGTTCCAATGATCTCACAACGCAGTGTTTATATCACCATCCCGGTTCGTTGGTGTTGCGTGAAATTTAGTTACTCGTTCTGTTTCCGCGAGATTCCTTATTGGTCGTTCCGTAAACAAGCTCTCTACAGTCGTATTTTAACAGAAAATTAAGTCAACACCAGCTGAAAAGTCAACATTCCAACAGCAACTTTCATCAAACACTTGTAAATCGTCTAATAATGAGACATAGCACACCTCCTCTTTGAGGTAATAAGTTATATATTTCCTCAAATACAGCAACTCGTTCTGTCTGTCATGCAATAAGAGGAGCTTAAACTTGCCAAGAAATTGGAAGCCATGTTGAAACAATTATTTGAAAGGCAGTCCAGATCTGGGAAATGAGTTCCTTCTGCGACGCTACCCTATAATGCACCTATATTACTTTCCTGTGTAGCGCACTAGTTCGAAATGTTTTCAGTTAAACATATGGTCCTTGGTTCAATCGGCCACAAGTTTACGAAGCCAACTATGTCGTTCCTAGGTATGCGAATTTTTAACCGATTTCCCTGCGAAGACCTCGCTCAAATCCATAAAGGTCGGCTTGTGTCTGTGGTGATGACACGGGAATACTCTTCTGGTGCTTCCTGGAATTGTACCGAAAATCTACTCAACCTGTACCTAACATAATTCATGAAGAAAACAGAACCACTACGTTACATCCGAATCCACATGCAAAAGAGCAATATTCGTGAGTGATGCATGCGAAAAGACGTACAGTGTGTGGAGATGGTATAAATGATAAAGGATAAAGCTCTCGCACTGATCAATCTCTGAGGAATGCGCCATACGTTCGACATAATTAAGTTTCGTTGAAGGTGATTGGACGCACATCTGGCCTTGACGGTGACTCGCAGCGCCATACCGATATTTCGAGCCAGTGCTACTATCCTCCTATACAAGTCTAGTACCAATTTTTCGACCCCGAAGGGATGAAGGGCTTGGTGAACGTGGGACACGGTGGGACACGAGAATCGATCCCATGTGTATTGCAGGGCGCCTCTGGCCACTGCGCTGCACGTGCCACCTGAAAGCAGTTACATAAGATAAAATAAAACAGAATTAAAGTGAAATGATGAAATAAACGACAGAGAGAAAAAAGAGTCAAGCATAAAACCAAAGAGTATTTAAGTGTGTTATTTTAATGTGAGCAGTTCATTACGCTTCCATGTGAACTCTGTGCAGTTGGTCTCCACGTGACACATTTAGTGGAAGACTCATAGAAAGCGGTGAGTGAGCAAACAAGCTGTTCTGTGTTCAATGTGATTGAAATCTTGGTTTACCATTTCCCCTGCTTAGTTTTGGAGGTGTTTGGCGGGGTAGACTACGGTCAACTTGACCTTTTCAGGCTCTGAGGAAGGCAAAATCCTCCGAAACGCCAGCTTCATAACAATAAAGAGTAAAATCTCACCTCGTTTTGGCCAACAAAAATATAAAAAATAAATCAACTTAAATAAAATAAAATAAGGCACCGATGGATTAACGAAGGAACGAAAGACACCATTTCATCGTATAATCTCGACACTGCTGGATAGAATTTCCTAATGCTACACGGTAATTTGAAGTAGAAAGTGAAAACATCAAAAATCAATACGATCATGTGATCGGAGTAATCCACTCAAGTTTTCCCTCTATTTTTTGAAACGATTTATTCGTGGAGGTATCTAGCAGCAAATCTGAACGGAGAAAACCATGAAGTGTATGTCAATCTTGCTGAGAATATTTCGTATTGTCGATACCAGTGCTAAATTGGTTGGGCGGCAAAAGGGCGACGAAGCTTTCCCACGTTTGGTTATATGTTGCACATCCCATATATTATCGATTAAAAGCGGGCATCAAGGCAATAAGAAGTTCAAGGAAGGTAGTTTAGCTGCTGTATGCAAGAAACGAACCCTGCGCCTGCTGAGTCCAACAAGTAAGTATATCACTCTCTGGGTGACACAAGCAGACGGACCATTTATGGGTACACCGCCGCCGAAAAGATGGCGGTAGGTGATAAAGGCATAGTTCTCATATTAAACTGGAGTGATGTTCGTGGTTCTCATGCGACTGGAGTCCACAAGACTGCCTTGGTGAGCAATCGTAATGATTGGAAATTTCAATGGTACACGTTTGAATCATTTGACGAATAACGGGTTAACTGATGATATAGGTGAATTTTAACACTGCCAAATATCGAGACCATGAAACGTCTGCAGTGTTCTTTTTTTCTTTGGTAGGTATTTTTCCGAAAAATAAAAATATCCCCTTCTAGTGCGACAGTGCTATTGAGATCCTTCGAGGGCAGCTTCCAATTTCAGACGAATACCTTGAGAATGTAGTTTTCCGATGGCTTGTAAGATTCCATGTCAAAACATTCAATTTTGAAGGAATTCAAGGAAAGAAACATAGAAAGATACAGAAGCGAATATTTATAATAAATAATACGAAGTCAGTTAGGTGGGTTCTTACTGTATTCAAATTTTCCCATACCCATCATCGAAAGCGCAAGTGCAGATGCACTCGTGAGAATTGTTATGTGTACAGGTGACATTACAATAAAAGTTCGTTAGGCGTAGAATATACACGCAGATCAGAATGTGCACATATCTCAAGGAAAAAACATGGTCCATTCCTCACCATATTTCCTACCCGCTAGCTCAGTTGCGATAGGTAGCTTCTCGACCAACCTATCGAGATCTCGTGCATGAAGACTATCACGGAGGTAACAGAAATGGAAGAAATGTAAAGATGTATACAAGCAGCTTCCATTCTTGGCGTCCAAGAGCTCTACTTTGAGAGATTTCAACTGAAAAACTAGGGCTCTCTGTAGCACACCGAACGATGACATCACGAAGATTGCATCAAAGCATCAAAGACATCATTGTCGACGTAAAAGTAAGAACTTTTAAAAGCACAGAACGACATTTGTCGAAGCCTTTCCAGTTTACTGTAAACAGCCTGAGATGTGCAAATGGAAGAATTTGATCATGTAAGAGAGTTCATAATTATTCTACCCAAAATACTTACTTGTACGGGAATCAATGAAGAGAACCTGCGTTCCATGGACTATGATGAACAGAGAGTTAATAACTAGATACTCATTGTTATAATGAACGGATGTTTTCAGAAACCGGGTAAAACAAAACAGGTGACGTTGTTTTGCTCTCCATAGTATAAACACTGGAGATAAGCTGAGAGGTAGCTGGAAGCAATGGATGCACTGCTACCACCCAATAGATGCATTCAAATAACCGCTGAAGAAACATGGAATAGCTAGTGTGGTATAGAAAACGGAGTCGTCAAAGTTATTTGCTCCAGATTTTAATTTATAATACTGCAAAGGGTAGCGGCTATCGCAATGGTAAAGGTGCTATTCAAGGCACTGGCTAAATATATCCTCGGTCCCACTAAGCTTACCATTACTTCAGGGTTAGTAAATTGGTACCAGACTTGTCTGGACTCGTCTCTCTCGGCTATACCCAGATTCTAGAGACAACCAACTCGGGGAGTATTCAACTATTGGAATATTTTCCACTGGCTTGCCTAGTTTTTCTTAATAGATGTCGAGTTTATTTATAGGAAAGAACAACCAGCTACCTCCATGCTCTTTCAGATCACTTGGTTTCCTGTTTTTAGCTCGTGTTTATGAAGTCACACCCTGACCCACACCCTCACTACTGATGCGTGCATAAAAAATCTATGTAAATCAGTAATTAAATATTCTTAGATCACCTATGGTATGCGCAAGCAAACAGCGCGCATGTAATGGAATTACTCGATGTTACATCACTTCATACCAACGTGTCGAATGAGTCCCCAAAAAAGCAAAAGCCACTATCGAGTGGCTCGAAGAACATGAAAAAAAAGCAGTTAGATATCAAAACAGAACAGCAGAGACAACAGGTTCGTTACCTCAGCTCGCCTGCATGTCATAAGGTCAATTTTGGGCTACATTCAACCATCAACCCATCACTTGAGAACTGATGTGTATCTTCTCCAGTGGAGGATCCCTCATTGAGTGAAGAACATGACTCACTATGTAACCATATATTAACACCGTCTCTTCTATAATATAAAGCGTGAAAAGTGAAGAACTCGGTATCGCTCGGTCTTGCAGACGTGAACTGTGTTTTCGACTCCCATATGAATTATAGATGTGAGTGAAATCATACATCGATTACACAATAGCATGTAAGGAACCACCGATTGCCCATACGATAAGGTTAGTACATTTTTGTATTCATGAGCTTACACGAGGTCGCTACCAAAAAGGTACTATGACTAATGTTTTAAGGTCTTGCTTCTCTAGTGGCCGCAGTGATCCGGGTCGAATCTGTATTTTTGTTTAGTTTTCTATTTGTCTAGTGCGTCTTACTTTTCTACGTCTTTGTAATCGCATAAAGTTGAATCGAGTGGAATTGAACAATACTTAAATTATAGAATGCAGAAAACAAAACGTTAAACATTGTGATTTCAACTACAGCCATAACTTAACTGGGTTCTATGCCGATTTGCGCTCCCCAGATCAACCCCGCTGACGGGTGATTGCTGTGGCAAAAAGATCGATAGAAATAGCTGAGAGACAGGCGAAACGAAGGACCCGCATGGTGTGGTGGTGAACGCGTTACTCCCCGGAAAGGATAATAGCGCGTTCGTTTCCCACCATAGACACCTGCGGTCCAGAGTTTTGCAAATATCTCAGCAACGTTGTGGTTGTATTTCGCTTAGTAACCTGCCATGAAAATTATAGAAGGCAGAAAACAAAACGTTAAATACTTACTTAGTTGGATACTGGGCCCGTTTTCACTGATAGTGGCGGCCACAGTATAATTTCCGTTTTTTTCGGAGTCTTGCTGGTCTAGCCATTGGTGGTTCTCTGGAGTCCCGAGCACAGCCTGGCGAAAGTCTGCCCCAGGTCGTCACCACGACAGGCAGTCGCAGCCCTTGTGGACCAGAGGAAAGT